ATACAATCCGTTGATAATTTTCCGTAGGTGAAAAGCTATTTTTTAACAGGAATTCAAATTAAAGGATTATAACATTCATTTCTGTTAATTTTATTTGGATCGAACTGACTCTTTTTCAAATTCGATAAATGTTGGCTCTCCCAGGGGTCCCTCATCTGAGATCCCTGATGTGAACCTTTAGGTGTAATTCATCCAATTGGTTAGATCCAAAATAATAACATACCCTTCATATGAGCCCCATTCTTACCCCAAGCTTTTAATAATATGGCCGTGATCAGTTTTTGTGAAAAAGGTTTGGGATCCCTTAAATTTTTTAAACTCAAATTAGTTAAATTAAGTGTTGGTTTCAGAAGATGGAATGTCTAATGTTTTTTCACCCGGAGAAGTGACTTGGACAAAAAGAAACGAAGTGGCTTATTGGTAATTTTTCGTAGGTGAAAAGCTATTTTTTAGTAGTGGGAGAAATAAGTTTGTCTTCGAACGACACATATTGTTTGTGCATTTTAATATTAAAAATCCATTCATTATATATTTTTTAATAAGTTTGCAGGTTTTGGGAATTAGGAAAGTCAAGAAGTAGGAGGTTTGGAAAATGTTCAAGTGTTTATGACACCTTTTTATTTTGGGTGGCCTATTTTTACCTATAAATAGTACCATTCCTTGGCCATTCATCAATGCTACAACAATCACAATTCTTTTAACTTTTCTCCTTACATTCTCACTCATTTTTCTTGAGAGATTATTGAGCAAAGAAGGGTGTTTCTTTTAGTGGAGTTTTGAGCTCAACTACTTGTATAGAGTTTGTTCAAGCCATATGACGAATAGTCAAGTTGTTGTATTCTGGAGGGCAAGTCAAAGAGAAATTTTGCTGCACTGTGTTTTAGGCTTTGTCAATCACAGAAGGCTTGAATCTTCATAAAGAGAAAGAAATATCCACGCCTCATTCTGTCCGATTTCGTTATCTTTATATTCATTTTGTAACTCCATTTTTTATCATTGAAATTTCACCAATAATTTTAAGGATATTCAAACAAATGGAGTTAGCACCTGAGAAGCCTACTGACAATATCAAAGATTTCAACAAGTCCTTTCATTTTAAGGGAGCTCATTTTAAGAGGTGGAAAAGCAAAGTCCTATTTTACCTTAGTCTTCTCAAAATCTCCTACATCCTCATCGAGAAGAATTCAAACAAGGTCTCTACCCATAATATGAACAAAGAGGAACTTCAAGCTCATCAAGGGAAGGTAGGAAACTATAATAGAGATGAGTATAATTGTCGGTGTTATATCTTGAATTACCTAGCAGATAATTTTTATGATTATTACAATACTACTTACTCCTCTACAAAGAAAATATGGAAAGCTTTGTAGAATAAATATGATACTGAGGATACTGGGGCAAAGAAATATGCTGCTAGTCACTTCTTTCGTTATCAAATGTTGGATGGAAAATCTGTGGTAGAACAAACACAAGATTTTCAAATGATTGTTGTAGAGGTTAGATCTGACAGACATCCTTGCTATGGCTATAATCATTGACAAACTATGGCCATCATGGAGAGAATTTCAAAAGTCAATGCACCATAACAGAAAGAGACCTCCTTGGAGACCTTGATCACTTGCATCCGGGTAGCGAAAGAAGCTAGAGACCAAGATGCACTGATGACACAAGAAAGCAATGGACATTATAGCACAAAGGTAAATTTAATTGTCGCAAATAATCACTTCCTAATAATAAGTTTTCTAGAAATAGTCAGTTGAAGCTAAGAAAGAAAAATATGAAAATTTATAGCAAACCTCACAAGTGGGGAAACCCGAACCAAAAAAATAAGAACCTAGGCCCTCCCTCTCAAAATCAAATTTACAGTGCATGTTTTGTCTGTGGCAAAAGTGGGTATATTGCTTGAAATTGTAGATTTTGAAAACAACAGCAGTTTCCTCAGGTTAATGTAATCGAAAAAACACTAGTGGCGATGATTATGGACATTAACATGATACAGTATGTTGAATGATGGTGGGCAGATTCTGGTGGCAATAGACATGTCTACTATGATAAAGATTAGTTGAAGAACTACACCCTCTTTGAGGAAGAGAAAACCATCATGCTTAATGATTCTAACAAAATCAAGATTGTTGGAAGTGGAGAGGTTGAACTGAAATTCACATCTAGACATGTGCTAACTTCGAAAGATGTTTTACATGCACCGTCAATAAGGAAGATTTGATGTCCAATTTTCTTCTTAATAAGGCTGGCTTTAAACATACTATGGAATCTCATCAATACGTGATTACCAAAAAGGATTTATTTGTGGGTAAAGGTTATGCCTGTGATGAAATTTTCAAATTGAATATTGAGAATAATAAAAACAAAATTTACTTTTATTTACATGCTTTCTTCTGTAAATTTTTGACATGCTCGTTTATGTCATCTAAATAGTAGATATGTAGCAGTCATGAGTAGTTTAGGATTACTCCCAAGACTAAAAAATTATTTCAAAAAATGTAAAACTTGTAGTCAAGCAAAAATACATAGAAGCTTCATATAAGTGTTGAAAGAAATATTGAATTGTTAGAATTAATTCATACCAATCTTTGTGAATTTGAAGGAATTTTAATTCGTGGAGGAAATAAATATTTTATCACTTTTATTGATGATTTTTCAAAATATACTTAAGTTTATTTATTGAAAAATAAAAGCGATGCTTTTGATAAATTCAAAGTTTTTCTCCAAAAAGTTGAAAATAAATTCGGTAGAAAAATCAAAAGAATTAGAAGTGATAGAGGCCAAGAGTATGATTCTATTGCTTTTTAATTCTTTTGTTCAGTCTTTGCGAATAATTCATGAGACTACTCCACCGTACTCCCATGAATCTAACAGTGTAACTGAAAGAAAAAATAGAACTTTGCTTCTTCAAATTTTTGGGATGAAGTAATTTTAACTGCATGTTATGTGTTGAATAGGGTGCCTCACAAGAAAACAAAAATCACACATTTTGAACTGTGAAAATTGTATAAGCAAAATTTCAAATTTTTAAGGGTTTGGGACTGTTTAGCTTTTGCAAGGCTAACAGATCCTAACATATCAAAATTAGGTGTTAGAACTATCACTTGTGCTTTTCTTGGATATGCAATAAATAATATAGCCTATAGATTTTTAGATATCGAAAATAATGTTATTTTTGAGTCAAGTGATGGTATTTTTTATGAAGATAAATTCCCTTTTAAAATGAAAAATAGTGGGGGTGAAGAATTAAGACAAATATTTTATCATAACCAAGTTCTTCTACTCCTTTTACAAACCAAAAATTTTCCAAATTGAACTTAGAATAAGTGAAAGAGCTAGAGTTGAAAAAGATCTTAGCCCTGACTACTATGTTTTCAATACCAAGGAGACTTCACTTTCTTTATAAGAAGCTTTTATGTCACCAGATGCTGTATTTTGGAAAGAGGTAGTAAATGATGATATTGATTTTCGAATCTCCAACACCACTTGGACATTGGTAGAATTAACATTAGGTTGCACAACTATTGGCTGTAAATGAGTCCTTAGAAAAAAAAAATATAAATTGGATTGTAAAGTCGATAAATTCAATGCTTGACTTACTGCAAAATGATTTAAACAAAAATTCGACCTTGATTTTTCGATACTTTTTGTTCGATAATGAGAGTCACATCCATTAGATTGTTGATTACAGTGGCTACAATTTAGAATCTTGGAATTCATTAGATGAATATAAAAACTGTATTTTTGAATGGGGATCTAGATGAGAAAATTTATATCGATCAACTCTAAAGCATCGTAGAGTCTGGACAAGAAAGTAAAGTGTGTAATCTGAATAAATTCCTATCTGGATTAAAACAACTACTTAAACAGTGGAATGAAAGTTTGATGCCTGCATGACTAAAAATAATTTTAAAACCAATGAGTGTGATAAGTGCATGTATTACAAATCTTTTCAAAATTCACATGTTACTTTAGTTTCTATGTGGATAATTTGTTGATATTTGGTTCAAATTTGCATGTTATAAATGAGATAAGAATCATGTTTTATAACCATTTTGATATGAAAGATGTCGGTGAGGCTAATTTCATTTTGGGTATGAAAATCACAAAAAAAAACATGTGATGTCATATTCTTGATATGTCAAATTATGTTGAGAAAATGTTGAAAAATATAATTATTATGATTGCAAGCATGTCGCAACTCCTTTTGATTCTTGTGTTCACTTATTTCTCGTGAATAATGAAAATGATATGATTAATCAAAAAGGAATATGCTAGCATAATTGGAAGCTTGCGTTATACAATTGATTGTACTAGACATGACATTAAATATGTAGTAGAAATACTTAGCAAATTTACTAGCAAGCCAGGAAGAGATCATTGGCATACCATGGAGCGTTTAATGAGATATTTATTTGGTACCAAAAATATGGCTTGTTTATAATAAGTATCCTACTATTCTTGAAGATTCAATGATGCTGATTGGAATACTTTGTTAGGAGATTCTTTTTCTACTATTTCTTCTATTTTTACATTAGGTTGTAGTATTATATGTTGGAAATCTAATAAACAAACCATTATTGCTAACTCAACCAGGGAAACTAAGCTTATAGCTTTGGCATCAGCAAGTGAGGAAGCAAATTGGTAAAGGGATTTATTATGTGAAATTTCTTTGTGGTAAAAACTGGTTCCATCTGTGTTAATTCATTATGATAGCACTGCAACAATTGATAGAGTTCAAAATTGTTGTAACGATAAATATAGACCTATAAGGAGAAAACATAGTACTGTGAGATTTTTTCTAAGTAATGGCATTATAAATGTTAATTATGTAAAATCTTGTACTAATCTTGCAAATCCATTAATAATGGCCTTGTCAAGAGAAAAGGTCTGGAGCATATCGAAGGGGATGGGATTGAAGTTCATATAAACAAGAGCCACTATCTATTTTACTTATCTTATTATTATCGTCCCTATGGTCTTTTTAAAAAAACACTATGAATGAGATCTATAGCTCTTATGAATGGAGTACAAATATTACAGGATCACTCTTACGAGATTTCACCTATGTGAGTTTGGAGGTGGGGCTGTTTCCTATGAGAACTGGCCTTATTTTCTTAAATACGCTCATGAAACTGGGTATGGCACAAAGCCGTAATGTGCTGGCTATTAAAGCTCACGTGAACATCTGGATTGTTATGTGTGGACAATAATTCTTTATTTTCCTTAATTAGTCATAGTTCAATGCTGAGCACGTTATTGTCTTTGGAGTGAAGGTTTTTGGTTTTCTAAGAGAAGATTCAATGTAAAGCACACCTCTATAATGCATAATAGTCCCTCTTTACCTTGTAATCTTTATGTTTGTTTTATATTAAAATGAGTGAGCCCATGTTGGTGCATTTTAATATTAAAAATTCATTCATTATATTCTCTTTTATAAGTTTGTAGGTTTTGGTATATAGAAAAGTAGAGAGGTTGGAGGTTTGGAAAATGAAAGGCGAAAAGGTTCATGTGTTTATGTCACCTCTTTGTTTTGGGCAGCCTGTATTACCTATAAATAGGACCATTCACGGTCATTCATCAACACTACAACAATCACAATTTTTTTTAACTTTTCTCCTTACATTCTCACACATTTTCTTGAGAGATTATTGAGCAAATAAGGGTGTTTCTTTAAATGGAGCTTTGAGCTTAACTACTTGTGCAAAGTTTGTTTGAGCCCTACGACGAATAGTCAAGTTGTTGTTTCTTGGAAGGGACAAATCATAATGTCAAAGATATGGAATATTGAGATTAGAATATTGTCTAGGATTATTTCTCTTAATAATTGATTGTGTAATTATTACACAATCTTTCCATTTAGGTTATTTCCTTTTATTGTTATTCATAACTCTATAAATAGGGTTTTTTTTTATTTGTAATATTTACAAGACCCTAATAAAATTCATATTTCTTATCATGGAATCAGAACATGTTTAACTTGATCTTGGGTTTAACTTGCTAACTTCTGTTCTCTAGCCAGTCATATTTTTGCCTAGAATATATATACACACACACACACACACACACTTTTTTTTTGGTTCCGTCCCAATTATTATTACTGTCATAATGGCTGAAATTGAGAATTTATCACCCGAAACACAACAGAAGCCATAGACCATAATTCAAACTGTTCAAGCCATCTTCTTGTTTTTTGTTTGCGTATATATATAACTTGCAACTAGCCCCAATTTTCCACCCTAAATCTGCTGGCCAATTTTTTTCTCACATTATTTTTCACCTACTTGTGGAGATTGAAAATCCTTGTGGCCAAAGATAATGGATATTGTTAGGAAAATGTGTAATTGGCAATCTGTGACCAAAGGACCTATTTGTCAAAATTGTAAAGTCAAGGACCAAATTGTAAAGGTCTAATAGTTCAGGGACTAAAGTTTCAATTTAGCAAAGTTCATAGCATAGGTCTAGGGTAAAGTGGGATGCTTTGAAGATGCAAACGGCGCGTTGACTTCGCTAGAGTTTCGCTCTGACCTCGCTCGAGCCTAAATTGCAGAACAGACGTCGCTAGAGTTTCGCTGAGCTGTCGCTCGAGCGAAGGTGCGTCGCTCGAGTTTCGCCAGCACCTCGCTCGAGTGACGATGTTATCTGGCCTTTGGTAATTTTAATGCCTCGCGAATTTTTAACGCTCCATATTACCAAATTCAACCTACTATATAAACAAAACGTCCGTTTTTCGTTAAAGACCTTTGGCAAACATTAAAACAGGAATTCCTCTCAACTTCCAAAGGATTAAGAACCTAATATTCATTCTTTTCATCTTTTAATTCTCATGGTTCTTTGAATAAAAACATCAACCCTCTCAAAACCAAAACACCCTTTTCATATCTCCATATCAACTTTCAGAAGATCGTCAGTTTGAAGATCCAGGAAGGAAATTGCTTGAAGAGCTGGAGTGCTTGGTGATTCACGGGAGGTAGAAGATATTCAAGGCTGGGATTTTGGTGCAGATCTGCAAAATCCAGGATAGCTGTGGTCGATACAGTAAAGAGGTCAGAGTATTGTTAGAATCAATAATGTCTGGCGTACTGTAAGTCAATATCTTCTATAGTGGATCTCTACTGGCTTGTGCCCGGAGTTTTTACCCAGTTGGGTTTTCTCCGTCAACATTTTGTGGCGTTTTTACTGGTTTTTGTTATTTACTTTTCAACCGGTAATTCAACTTAGGTAGATAAAGTATGTGAATGAATGTGGACAATGCATAATTTATGTGACTTGTTGCATAAGTTAATTAATTGCCTTAATTCCGCATAAACACCTATTCACCCCCCTCTAGGTGTTGGTTGGGTTGAACTATAGCTTTTTCAAGTGGTATTAGAGCCAAATCTCGAGTGTTGACCCATAGTTGTCTAGATGAGTCAATCACTGTCTGTACCTCCATTTTTCGATGGAAGTAATTATGCTTCTTGGAAGGTTAGAATGCGTCCTTTTCTGAAATCTTTAGATGAGCATGTTTGGGTAAGTGTGCAAAATGGTTGGAAACCTCCCTCCACTACTGTTTCTGGAACTATTAATCTAACTGACATATCACTGTGGACTAAGGATGAAATAGCTGAGTGTAATTGGAATAGCAAGGGTCTTCATGCCCTGTTTATGGCCGTGTCTCCCAAAGAGTTTAGGAGAGTGTCAATGTGTGAAACTGCTAAAGAGGTTTGGGACATTCTTGAAACTACACACGAGGGAACTAAAACGGTAAAGAATTCTAAGTTACAAATGCTAGCATCTAGGTTTGAAGAAGTGAGAATGAAGGATGATGAAACGTTTGACGAATTCTATGCTAAATTGAATGACATTGTTAATTCTAGCTTCAATCTAGGTGAGAGAATTCCCGAGTCTAAAATTGTGAGAAAAGTGCTTAGGTCCCTGGCCGAGAGATTTAGGCCTAAAGTCACTGCCATTGAGGAAAGTAAGGACCAAAATGAAGTTAAAATTGAAGAACTGGTAGGATCCTTACAAACTTATGAACTCACTATCACACAACCTAAGAAAGGAAAGTCCGTAGCCTTAAAATCCATCAAAGAGGATGAATCTTCTGATACTGAATCACTTAGGGACGATGAAATTGCTTACTTTGTTAAGAGATTCCAAAAAGTTCTCAAGAATAGGAAAAAGCCTCATGATAGAAAAAGTGGAGCCCCTAGCAGTTTTTCAAAAGAAAAAATTGAAAAGTTTACCAATAAAGGGTCTAGTGATAAGCCTCGTTTGGTTAGGTCCCATGAGTGTTAAGGAATAGGTCATTATAGGAATGAATGCCCTAGTTATAAGAAGAACCAAAGAAAAGGGAAAGGTAAGGCCTTAGTTGTCTTACTTACAGATAATGAATCTGAGACCAGTGATAGGCAGGAATCTTCTAGTAGTGAGAACGAAGGAAACTATATGGCATTTGTATCGACTATTAAGAGTGAATCTGACAAAGAAAGTAACAAGGTTGAGGAAGAACTTCCTAACGATAATTCTAGTAATGAGGATGAGGATGACATAGACATACAAGAAGCTTATCAACTTTTGTTTAAAGAGAGTCTTAAAATCAAAAAGGTCAATAAAGCTTTACTCAAAAAGGTTGATGAACTTGAAAGAGAAAAAGAGAAACTTGCTAGTAATCTTCATGATTCACTTAAGAGTGGTAGTGAGTTAAAGTGTGTCAATGAGAAGTTAGAGGACAAGATTAAGACTTTGACTAATGAATTGGAGAAATCTAATGCTCATCTTCAGACTTTCATAAGTGGGACTAAGAAATTGGACAATATTTTGGGAATGAATAAGCCTGCAGGAGATAGGAAAGGTCTAGGATACGTTAAGGGTAACACACATGTTACTAGACCATCTAAGACTGTGTTTGTTTCTGCCTCTAAGAAAGCTAATGCTGTCGGCAGTTCAAAAAAGGGTAAGAATGTTCCGAGAGAACAGAGTCATCAATCACGTAGGAACTTCAATCCCAGATACCCACAGACACGTACCTTTGAGCCTAGGTTCATTCCCACCTGTCACCACTGTGGAGCTCTAGGACACACTAGGCCTAGATGTTATAAGTTAGGCAATGAGCATAGAAATCATAACATTCCTAGTCAGGTTAGCTTTCTGTCTAATCAGGTTAGTCATTTGACTGAGATGCTTACTAAGCTTACTAGGAGTACTTTATCGTCTACGAAAGTTTGGGTCAAAAAGGGTGATCTAGCTAGACATTCAGGTCAAGAAAACTGTTTTGTTGCTCATGTTGCATTAAAAGCCCAAAATTACAATATGTGGTATCTAGATAGTGCATGTTCTAGGCATATGTGTGGTAATAAAGCTTTGTTCACTACTCTTGATGAATGTAATGGTGGTATGGTTACTTTTGGAGATGGGGGTTCTGCACCTATTCTTGGCAAAGGTACTGTACAAATGCATGGATTACCTGTGATATCTAATGTGCTTTATGTGGAAGGCTTAAAGTCTAATTTGTTAAGCATTAGTCAGATTTGTGATGATGATTTTGAGGTTAGCTTTGTGCAAAAGAGATGTACCGTGTATGATTCGTCCGGTGGGGTGGTCCTTGAAGGGGTTAGAACGTCTGACAATTGTTATGGAGTTTTGCCTAATTCTAATTACGTGTGTAGGAGTGCAAAAATTGATGTGAGTGAGCTCTGGCACAAAAGGTTAGGTCACTTGAATTATAAGAGTCTAGTACAGCTAGCTAAGAAGGAATTGGTAGATGGTTTGCCTAAGATAAGTCCGAGTGAAAATGTTGTGTGTGGACCATGTCAACTAGGTAAACAGTTTAAGGGAAGTCATAAAAAGACTTCTAAAATTCTGATCAAAAGACCCATGGAATTGATACACATGGATTTAATGGGACCATCTAGGACTGAGAGTCTAGGAGGTAAACGATACATTATTGTTGTGGTAGATGACTTCTCGAGGTTCACATGGATAGAATTGCTTAGGGAAAAATCTGATGTATGTGATCTTATAAAGTCTCTGTATAAGCGGCTTAGTAATGAACTCAATCTCGAAGTGTCTAGAATGCGTAGTGATCATGGAAAAGAATTTGAAAATTCTAATCTTGAGAGTTTTTGCATGGATGAAGGGATATTGCATGAGTTTTCTTCCCCTATCACTCCTCAACAAAATGGGGTGGTTGAAAGGAAGAATCGTATTCTTCAGGACATGGCTAGAGCCATGCTTCATGGAAGGGGACTAGCCCTACACTTTTGGGGAGAAGCTGTTAACACTACATGCCACATAATCAATAGAGTCTACCTTAGACCCAAGACCGATTAGACTCTATATGAAATTCTTAAGGGTAAAAAGCCTACGGTTAAGTACTTTCGTGTGTTTGGGAGTAAGTGCTATATTCTGCGTGATAGAGAGAACTTGGGTAAGTTTGAATCTAAGAGTGATGAAGGAGTTTTCTTAGGATACTCTAGAAATAGTCGAGCATTCCGAGTATATAACTCACGAACTCATGTTGTGATGGAGTCAATCAATGTTGTGATAGATGATGCTGTGAGTGAGGGGGAGAGTGTTGAAAATTGTGACAGGGATGGTGATCTTATAAGTTCTAGTGATCCCACTGAACCACCTGTGTCTGAATCATCTCTTAGGAAAATTGAAACACCTGAAAAGGAAACACTTCCACAAGATTGAGATAAAAATCCTAAGGAACCATCGACTAGGATTAAGTCTAATCATCCTAAGGACAATATCATTGGGGATCTAGATGAAGGTATGAGACTTCGTAGGAGAGTACTGAACAATCTAGCTTGCACTAGCTATGTCTCTCATGTAGAGCCTAAGAAAGTTGAAGAGACTCTTAGTGATGAGTGTTGGGTGAATGCGATGCATGAGGAACTCAATCAATTTGCTAGGAACAATGTGTGGATCTTAGTTCCCAGACCTGAAAATTGTAATGTTATTGGTACTAAGTGGATCTTTAAGAATAAGACAGATGACCAAGGTACTATAACTAGGAATAAGGCTAGATTAGTTGCTCAGGGTTATTCTCAAGTTGAAGGAATTGATTTTGATGAAACTTTTGCCCCTGTTGCACAACTAGAGTCTATTCGGATTCTGCTTGCTGTTGCTTGTACCTTAGGGTTCAAGTTACATCAAATAGACATTAAGAGTGCCTTCTTGAATGGACTTCTTCAGGAAGAAGTCTATGTGGAACAACCAAAAGGATTTGTTGATCCTAAGTTTTCCCACTATGTCTACAAACTCCACAAAGCACTTTATGGTCTGAAACAAGCTCCTAGAGCTTGGTATGAGAGACTTACTTCATACCTTGAGGAACATGGATTCTCTCAACGTGGTGCAGATAGGACCTTATTTATTAGACATATTGAAAAAACTATCACCATTGTTCAAATTTATGTCGATGACATTATTTTTGGGTCTCCTCTTGAGTCTCTAGCATATGAGTTTGCTGAGTGTTTGAAGCAAGAATTTGAGATGAGTATGGTTGGGGAGTTGAGTTATTTCCTTGGACTTTAGGTGAGACAGACAGAGGATGGACTGTTCATTTCACAGTCTAAGTATGCTAAGGATCTAGTTAAGCTCTTTGGGTTAGATAGTAAGAAGCATACTAGGACACCTATGAGTACTAGCTTGAAGTTAGGTTGTGATCCTTCAGGTAAGTGTGTAGATCCTTCCCTATATCGAAGCATGATAGGTAGTCTTCTCTATCTCACGGCTACTAGACCTGACATTGCTTTTAGTGTTGGAGTGTGTGCTCGATTTCAGGCAGATCCAAAAGAATCACACTTAAGCTCTGTTAGACGTATCATTAGATATGTGAGTGCAGTTGATCTAGGGATATTCTATTCTAGGAATTCTAATCTTGATTTGGCTGGTTACTCCGAAGCCGACTGGGCCGGGAACGCAGATGATAGGAAAAGTACGACAGGGGGTTGTTTTTACATGGGGAGCAATCTCGTAGCCTGGTTAAGTAAGAAACAGAATTCTATATCTCTATCCACGGCAGAGGCCGAATACATAGCTGCAGGTAGTTGCTGCACTCAGCTTCTCTGGATGAAGCAGATGCTGAGTGATTATGGGATTAGTCAATGGACCATGACTGTTTTCTGTGATAATACAAGTGCTATAAATATTTCTAAGAATCCCATTCAACACTTTCGAACAAAACATATTGACATACGACATCACTTCATTTGTGAGCTTGTTGAATCACATGTAGTCTCCCTCGACCATGTCTCTACTGATAATCAATTGGCTAATCTACTTACGAAACCACTAGATGGATTGATGTTTGAGTCGCTTCGGACGGCTGTTGGTGTTTGTTCACCTATCTGTTCGTGGATTCATGCATATTCATGCATTTATCACATATGCACCTAGTCACTTCATATCTTGCATGTGATCTGTGTGTGTGTGATGCATTTTTGATTGTTAGTTTGTCGTTTAGTCTTCTTTTGTGTGTTATATTTTTGTGTTTAAATATGAAAATTTAAATTAAAAAAAATTAATTAAAAAATAAAAATAATAAAAAATAAATATAAAATGGGATTTTTTGTGTGTGCCCCTTTTATGTGACGATAATAGCTTTTGCATTAAAGATCAAACTCTATTTTTCATCATATGTACAAGTCTGAGGTTCCATCATCGTTCTCTTTGCCTATGGAGTTCTGAGTATATGGCTCGTCATTCATTTTTACACAGCACACACTGTAGTCCTGTGAGTGAGTCTTGACCGCATGGTTGAGACTTGGGATGGTGTTTTTCTGTGATTGGGGTTATGTGTCCATTTGACTTGATCTGGGACTAGTGTCACCTAATCATATTGTTTTTCCCCACTTTTATTTGTTGAACTTATGACTATCTTCGGGGCCTATTTGACTCGAACAATTAAACTTGAGGGGTTTCTAACCTGGTGCCCTATGGTCATCTGACTTGGGAGTCAACGGCCCAAAGTTCGTTACCGGGGTCATTTATGTCGCCTAATGGGGATAGCATTGCACTTAAGTTCTTTTGTTAAAAAAAAAAAAAAGAAAAAAGAAAAAAGGGAAGAAATATGGAATCATACAGTTAGGGGGAGTAAAATTGTGACAATCGTAATATTTGATATAGGTCCTCGTGGAATTGGATTTGACTGTCACTTGGTAGACATACACCTCTGTCTGGTTGTTTTCACGTGTCCTTTCTCACTAATTTAAGGTTTTGAGTCTCACTTGCATGGACTACATGACACTTTTCACGGTGATGTTTTGTATACACTTTACTCCACGGGATTTTGAACTATGTGTGGACTTACGATTTGTCTATGTGCTGAGTGTCGGGGTTGTGAATTTATGCTTATTGTTGGTATAGTTTACATAATTGGTCCCATGCTTCGTTTTTTTTGATTAGTTTCCAATGTTCTGCACTTATCTTATTTTTGAAAATACACGATTTGGGGCTAATTTCGTCATTTCTTGATAATTGTGTTCTTTTTCTCAATATTCAAAATTTTAGTGCTATTTCTGACATTTGAACTTCGCTCGACTCTCGCCTGGACTTCGTTCGAGCGACAAAAGCAGAACGCTTTTCGCTCGAGTTTCGCCCATGGCTCGCTCGAGCGACAGTGTCTTTTTAAGAGTCCCAGTTTTCATTTTTAGCGCAATTCTTCTCCATTCTCTCTCATTTTTTCAACAATTGCTGCGATTCATTCAAAATTCATCCATCATACTTGTTTATTACACAATTTCGAAGCCCCTAACATATATTGGCTTCCAGATTTCAACATTTGCATAGCGTTTTTGAGGTATTTTTTTTCTCGTGTGTGTAGTTTTTTTTGTATTTTGATTGTTTCTTCTTCCCTTGTTATGATCTTCATGCATTTCTTGTTTGATATTCTTCGCATTTTGCATTATAAATTACATTAAATTGTGTGTTCTTCCATGGTTTAGTAATGGAATTTTCGTGTTTTTCCTCCATGTTCGTGTTATTCGTTCTTGCGTTCCGTTACTCCGTTTCTTGTGTGGTTTGTTTCATTCTAAAGACCATGGTTTCTAGTTTGTGGGACTATGCTTGGTTGTGTGTTTGCGTCTCATATGTGCTTGGAATTGTGTGCCAAAGTGTCGCACGCCACGTGTTCGATGAAAGTCTTTAGTTATATGACTTTTGTTTTCCCTTAGTTTTTTTTTTGTGTTTCTGTTTTCCTTCTTTCCATTTCGTCTTTGTTTCATTGTCATAACGTGCCATGTTGAGTGCTTTTGGACATATTTTAGGTTTATCTTTTCGTCATGCTTGGTTTGCTCTTAGGGTCGTTCACGTTTTTCGATGCATTTCTTTCATGCCTCATTTGTGTGTGCAGTGTTTCATTTCACATTGCATCATATTACATGCATTCTTCATGTTACTCATTAGTTCCGTCTCTACGTGTGCCAGATGGCCCGTAAGCGTTCTTGACCCTCTGCGCAGTCGGCCAGTGGTTCGACGTCATATAGTCGATCGTGATTCATTTCTGCTACAGCTCAGGAGGTCTTCACTTCTCAATTCTCCTTATGCCCCGTACTCGTGGAGCGTGAGGTAATCTTATTTGACCTTCCTGTTGATATACTCGCCATTTTTGTTTCCCGGAGTTGGGAGCCCCTTCTTGTTGGTCTTTCACCTCTGCTCCCACTCCTGGTTCAGGAGTTTTATGCTAATATTCATGACATAGACGGCTCGTCGTTTAGGGTTTTTCTTAGAGGTCATTCTTTTAGGGTTACTCCGTCAGCAGTAGCTCATGCTTTAGGTATACCTCATATTACCTATCCGACTTTTCCTTATATTCTACCTGCTTCTATTCCGGCCGATGCCCTTGTTCGGTCGACGCTTTTGAACACCCCGTCTGTCGGGGGGCCTACGGTGATGGCCACGAGTTCTTTGCCCACTAATCGTCAGGTTTTGTTGCGCATCGTGTGCACAAACTTGTGGTCTGTTGCCCACACGTCTTCTTTACCTATGGTGAGGGCCCGTTTTCTATATGCCCTTCTTCATGGGGACTCGATCAACCTTCCTAGTTTTGTGTGCCAGCAGATTCTGGCTTCATTTCGTACTCTGGGGGGACGGATCGGGTTGCCTTATGCTTGCTTGATTCATAGGGTTGCTTTCTCTTTAGGTGCTTCTTTTCCAGAGGGTTCGACTAGTCGCATAGGACGTCCGATAGGACAGCAGACCATTCATCAGAGTCGATCCCATGTTTCATTTTCTTCCTCTTCTGCTCATGCTGCGACTCAGGCTGAGCCTGTTGATGTCTTTGATTTTTCAGAGCCCCTTGATCCTATTACTGATATTCTTACTGGGGGTTCTCGTGTCTTTCTTCCTTCTTGTTCCGATCCTCCTTTCGCTATTTCGCTTAGCTCTACCTTTCCTTCGACATCTACTTCTGCTTCTGGGGTGGCTACTTTGCCCGTTGACCCATGGTGACGCTTATGGGACAGATGTCTACACTGGTCGAGCAGCAGGCTCATATGATGGCTGAGATCACGCAGTTACGTGCTGCTTCAGAGCGTCAGTCAGCTGAGCTTTCTACTTTTCACCGTGCTCTTGCCGTATGTCAGCGACATTTGCACTGGATTCGTGATAGTATGGAGGAGAGCACGAGTGGCGAGAGCGGTGTTGAGTCTTCGGATGCTGGAGGTGCTGCCTCATAGTTAGTTAGTTGA